CAGATCCCTGATTTCAGAGTGCAGAAAATGACAAGCTCAAAAGCAAAATAGAACCAAGAATACTTGTTTGGAGAGGATATGGTAATGAGGTTAAGGTTCAAGTCCAAATGTGCTGACTTGTCTTATTCCAATTCCCAGTAATAGAGTGGTTACCCCAGGCCAGTCTCTTACAGATGTTTGTTACAGGACAAAAGGGCCCAAGCAGCGTGTTTGGAAAAACAAGTAAAGGCAATAGCATGTGAGTAGTTACCTCCCTGTTCCACAGGCATCTTTTGGCCAGAAAATAACAGTTCTAATAATGCGAGACCTTACACTGCCTTTTTTCAATATCGCTGATGGTAACTTCTGAGAATCACTGTGTAGAGGAACAGTCAATTTTATAATGTATTGAGGATGGTTCTTGTTTCGCCTATAATGTTTTTTAATTACACCTAAAAATCTCAGCTATCCATTTAAAACATCGTAAATCTGAACATAATACTCAGAATCCACTTTTCATACCTCTGTCAAAATCTAATTATGGGACGGCCACATTATAAGCACAAAGAGAGCCCTCAGGGCATGTCACAAGAGGATGTTGCCAGTTCTGGGCTGAAGTCATTTGGCACCAAACTCATTTTAAAAGGCTCCTAAGGTGTGGTAATATCCATGACTCATGAATTGTCCTTTCATTGCTGAGCCAATTGCACGATTTCCACAATCAAATGAGCTATTGGGTTCTTACTTCATTTGTTTACTGCACACAAATGGCATTAGAGTAAACAGTATGCTTATTAAAGTAAATTGGTGGGATCCACTTGCCAGATATTACCCAAAAAAGGTGTGTGTGTGGAGGGGGGAGAATCTGGTGTCATCAGTCAAAAGTCCCATTGACATAAAGGAAGAGAAGAAAAGGTGGCTTTCTTCATTACTCCACGGGTACAACCAGAGGCAACCCATGAACTCGTAAGAACTCCCCAGAGCGACTGACTATGTCAATATTTTGAAGTGGAGGAAGCCTAAAAAGCCAGAATGGCCGAGACAGTCCGCAAGGGGGCAGGTGGGCAAGAGTCGGCAGGTAAACTCAGGCAATCAGTTCTGCCTTGGACCTCAACCTCCTCCTCTACAAAATGAGGCTGGTGAACAGTTCCTTTTTAATGACGGGGCTGCATGGAATATGTGGCACAGAGGGAGTCAGACGGGATCCCAACCCGGCTCCACCTGGGGGTGGGCCGGTCCCTCAGCCTCTTCAAGGCTCGGGTGTCCTCTGGAGGCCCGAAGCCGGAGCAGGGTGGCAAGCAGGCGGTCATCTCCTGGGAGAAGACCCAAAGGTCGATCCAGCACTTCTAACTACCTTCATTTTTCCCAAAATAAAAGCATCTGGAATAAGTTTAATGCTAAAATGTACACAAGCAGCATACTTTGCCCCTACTATACTCCAGCACATGTCATATGTGCCGCCTGGGATAAAATGTGCTGTCTTCTACTTTCACATGGTTCAGTACTTGCAAGCATATGCTTCTGTTCCACGTCCCCGTGGGCAAGTGGAAGGAGCCTGGCAGAACGCCCAGGACACCGAAGGGAATGTGGGTGCGCGGCACCCAGGCTGGCCCTGTCTTTATCTTGCTTTTACCAACACACTCGTGTCAAACACAGGTTATTTCAGGATTGTGAGAAAAGTGCAGGAAAGTGGGCCTTTTCATGTGGAAACCATTCGAGAGAGAACCCGGGGAGGAACACAGGTGATCTCCAGCAAAACTGGGACGCTGGAAACGCTGGCGGCGTCACCGGCCCGCCCTTCCTGCAGCTGCCCGCCCGGCCCCACACTGCCCTGCCTTGTGTCCCTTCAGAACCTAACCACGTCCCCCGCCCCTGGCCAGCGCCCCACAGTCATGCCACCGACTTCACAGCCACCCCCCTCAACTCCAGTCCTTCTGGTCAGCTTTTGGGGAAGAAATTGCGACACACAGTTTAGTTCACACGGAAGGTTAAAACCCAGTAACTGGTGCACTCGTCCTTCCAGAGGCCTCCTCCCCTGTATCACGAGGACCCGGGCCCAGGGTTTCCAGCAGGCACCCAGCACCGCCGAGGCGCGAATCCCTCGTGGAAATCGGTGTAGGGCCGTCGTCACCACATACAGAGACTGTGGATTCAGAGAGCAGACTGCATTTGCATTTTAGAAACATCTGGATAGAGAGTTAATGCCAAAGGAATAAATCTCCAATGACAGATTTTTGGGTGTATGGACAAAACAGTTTGAGGGAGGGGGCCTTGGGTTTCCCAGTGTTTCAAATACATCTAGATATCTGAACCTTAATTCAGTGGGAAGCTGTAGAAAGCATTAACAGCTTTTATTTCTCCACGTTTGCTGATCAGTTTTGCTCCTTTAGGGGAATGGAGGGGATATGGTTAAGAGGATACTGGTATGGCATTCTTTTTCCTATATATTTCCCACCAGTCTCCTCCTGGTTTTGTCACCTTTGATATGTCAGGGGGGAAAAAAAAAAAAACCACTGTCCTTAATTAAACATATGTCCAGGTTGGCCTATACAAAAGTCATTTAAATTTATCACTTTCAGGTTTATATTCTTGTCAGTCTATCACCTGGTACAAGGTGATTTTTAAAACTCAGTGCTCTCCACAAGTCTGGATGAGTACTCCACTCTTTACCTTTAAACTTTAAAGGTCTTTAGCTAGTCATCAGGTTGGCAGGGTTTCTCAGCCTTAGCACTATTACCATTTACGGTCAGGACATTTTTTTTGCTGAGGGATTCGGGAGGTATCCTGTGCACCGTAACATCCCTGGCCTCTACTTAGCAAATGGCAGTATCACTCTTCCAGGCCGGATGAGTGAAAACAGCTCCAGGCACTGCCAAATGTCCCCTGGAGAGGATCAATCCCATTTCAGACCATTGAGCTAAAATAAGAACACAGTAATGATGGCCCAGCCCAAAACTGGGGATAAAAGTTAACAGCTGTTTTTAAAAGGGTGGTAAAGTAATATGCAATGCAGAATTATCCTTACTAACTCCCATTCATGCATGCGTGCTCAGTCACTCCGTCATGTCTGATTTTTTGCGACCCCTTGGTCTGTGCCTGCCAGGCTCCTCCACTCATGGGATTTCCCAGGCAAGAATACTGGAGTTGGTTGCCATTCCCTGCTCCAAGGGATCTACCCAATTCAGGGATCGAACCAGCGTCTCCTGCATCTCCTGTATTGGCAGGCAGATTCCTTACCACTGCACCACCTGGAAAGCCCAGCCCCAAACAGTTTTGTTTTAAAGGAAATAGAGCGCCAAAGAAAATACCTGCAACTCATAAAATGTCTGGGGGAAAATGTACTATAGGAAGCCCCAATAAGAACCTAATTCGGGGGATGAGTTCTTGTGTCTTCTCATCAAAGAACATAATCCTTTTTGTGCTACTAGAAAAGAGCAAAACGAATTGGGACATATGTGCACCTTGCCCTGTTCAGCTGGACTACCTTGGCAGAAAAGCATAGAATAAACCCCACACAGAAAGATAATTTTGTGAAACCTAAATAGTCACTGAAATAGAGAGCACTAACCGATATATTGGGCTACAAGCATCTTCTTGGTTTTACTGGATAATGGAAGTGGTTTAATTACAGCAGGCCTGAAAAAAGTTACAGACCTGACTCCTTTGCTTGTTGCTATTTTGAAATCAATAAAAACCAATTTCTGTGAAGGGACATTTCCCATTCCCGAATTTGTCAGCTAGGTTTGGCTGCCAGAGTTTTCTCCTCTTCCTAACTCTCATCCCAGAGGGAGAGCTTGCTAAGTCCCTTCAGTGTCCGACTCTTTGTGACCCTAGGGACGACAGCCCACTAGGCTCCTCTATCCATGGGGAGTCTCCAGGCAAGAATACTGGAGTGGGTTGCCATTTCCTTCTCCAGGGGATCTTTCCAACCCAGGGATCCAACCCGCACCTCTTACATCACCCGCACTGGCAGGTGGGTTCTTTACCACCGGTATCACCTGGAGAGCCCCAAAGGATACACTATTAGCATCACAATGCAAAGAAGGCCTCCTACGGTTCTTTTCTCGGGCAAAAAAAAAAAAAAAAAACACAAGAGAATCAAGTTTTCCACCTGAAATCGATTAAGGAAGGAATGGCAGAACAAACAGCTTTCAAAACAAGTTTTACCTACACTTACAGGATGAGTTTTAAAATATCTGATCTCTTTCTCTCACTTCAAACTTATCTTTCCTTCCTCTTTCTCTAGACGAGCGGGTTCTCAAACTGTGCTCCCAGGTCAGCATCACCGGGAACTAGTTAGAAATGCAAATGAGACCCCACTCCAGACCTGAAACTCGGGGAGATGGTTCAGCCATGAATCACACATCAAACACACCTTCCAGGTGATTCTTATGCGCTCCCAGTTTGACAACTAACGGCTCAGACCAATTTTATTTCTATTACCACAGATACATTATTATTATTTTTTTTTTTACAGAAAAAAGCACTGTAGACTAGTAAATTGAGTTCTCTGCTTACTTCCAACTCATTTGATCCTCAAACCTGATGCAAGGAATCTTTCCAACAAGGATCTTTTAATTGGTCTGCGGTCCCTCCTGGCTTTGCCCCGGAGACTACGGGCATCCCGTAGAAGGGGTCGCAACTTCAGGCTGGGGGCGCGGGCGGCACCTCGCTGAGCCGCTCGCCTCTGCTCAGCCGCCCGGCACCCCCGACGCGACAGGTTGTCTGTGCCCAGGGAGCCGCCGGCAAAGCCCGGGCGCCCGGAGCCCAGGGGACTGGGTTAGCTGAGCAGCCGGCACACGCCAAAGGCTGGAGGAGCGTCTACCGCCACCGCAGCTCGGGGCAGGAGGGGGCGAGTGGTGAGCCCGAAACCGCCGAGGGCCGAGCGGAGAGAAACCGCAAGTCCCACTGGGGTCACAGTGAAGAGGAAGAAGGAGCGCGGAGGCTGGAAGGCAGGGGCGGGGGAGAGAACCACAGGGGATGAAGACGGCACCCGGGAGGAAGACCTGGGGAGCACTCACTGTGAGGGTCACTCTTCTCGCGGACCCCGTCCACTCGGCCGTCGGGGTGGATGCGCAGGAAGAAGCCCCCGTTCTTGCAGTACAGCCGCTTGGGGTCCTTGAAGTGGCCCGGCGGGAAAGCGCCGCTGCCGCCGTCCTCCGGCAGGGCGGGCAGCGTGGTGATGCTCCCGGCGGCCATGGCCCCAACAAGGCCCTGGCGGGGTCCCCGAGCCCCTGGAGCCGCGCGGGGAGCCGCCGCGCCCCGGCCCCGGCCTCCGACGCGCTCCGGGGCGCGGGCGCGGCCCCGGCCCCGGCCCCCCAGCCTCCCTCCCCGCGGCACGCGGCCGCGCCCGCGAGCCCCCAGCCTCGGGCTGTTCGGCCGCCTCCCTCTCCGCCTGCCCTAGAGCGCGGGGAGCCCGGCGGTCCGGGATCGGGGGGTGAGGGCTGGATGCCTCTGCGGCCGCCGCTCTCGGGAGGGCCGCCTCCCTAAGCCGCAGCAACCGGGAACCGCTAGCCACCGCGGACACCGCGTCCGCCGGTCTGCTACCCGCCGGGCCGCGGCGTCACATCTAATACGTCTCCACCCGCCGACGCCCACGACCCCCCACGCCCCCCGCCCGCCTCCCTTCCGGCGCACCGCCCCCTACTCGCTCCGGGTTTTCTGGGGCGGGTGTCTGGGTCGGGCGCTCGGGCCGCAGGACGCAAGCGCGCGACATCCGTGCCCCGGGAGCCCGAGGGGGAGAGCCAGGGCCGGGGGAGGTGCGGGGACGCGGCGGGAGGCCCTGGCCCAGGCCTCCGCCGCTCCAGGGGCTCAGCCCCGCCGGTTCCCCAGAAGTCGCCCCAGCCCAGCTCCGCGCAACCCAAACCATGTTTCGACTTTCTCCACTTTGCGGAGCTTTCGCTGAGCAACCAGCCGTGACTCAACTTTTCAAAATTTAAATGCAGTTTTCTCCCCCATTCTTTTTCTCTGCCAGCGTCTCAAAGCGTAGGAACTATTTCCACCCCGAAGAAGTAGAGGAAGTGGAAGTCAGGGAGAATTGCGTGTCAGAATAGGTTTTGAACGTCTCTAATCATCCAAAGACGACGGGCACGCACTGGCACAATCTGTTAACATGGAAGGCGTAGGCTAAAGTATTTTACTAACAGGAGGGGAGAGAGAGGCCAGAGAAGGGGTTGAGCTGCACAGAGGAAAAGGTTTTTCCCTGACTAACCTGAGTTAGTCAGTGCAAAGATGAAGATGGCCCTCAAATCCTTATCGCGATTGAAGCTTGTTAATACTTGTTCTAGCTTAACCTTCAGGCACTTCTTGGAGGGAGGGTAGTGTATTGAAAATCCCAAACTACAAAATTGAGGTTAATTACACTCTATTTTTCAGTAGAGCATTACAGGTACTACAGGTTAGCAAAATACTCTTCTTTAGAGCTTCACATGCTGAGCATCTGCTGTGTGCAAAGCATTCAGTAAGTGCAGTGGGAGGTGCCCGATCAAATGGGATCTTCTGGCACAGTGAAGGCCATACAAGGGGACCAAGAATAACACAAATACTATTAACAGTAGAAAATGTCAAGGCCATAGAAGAGTAAAATGAAGTTTCAAGAGATATCAGACAAGGAGTAATTCAGCTTGAGGATAGCCAGGGGTAAGGGAAAGCTTCTTGGAAAAAGTGAGAATACAGAAGTTCCTCAATTTAATAACTTGTTTGCTTTCAAAAGATTATCCATGGGTGCATTTGTTCATAAGGCTCCAAGATGGGTTTAACTCTAGACACATTTCTAGGATGTTAAATAGGAGTACGATTGTTTGGAGCTTTAAGAACCACGGAATACTCTTCTCTGGACTGATGGATGTTCTCAGACATCTCTCTCCAAAATGGACAGGTTTTAGCTGCGTTGAACATCTGTTTAGACAGACAGCCCCCTTGCAGATATCTCTGTGGCAATCCTCAGGAATGCTTAAAGTTACTGCAGCATAAATTGAGTTGCCACTTACTTTGATATCAAGTTAGACTTGAACAAGCTTTGAAATCTGTGCACAGAAACCTGAGTATTCCAAGAACAACGGGATAAAAGCTAAGTCAAACTATTTTTTTTTTCACAGTAGTATCCAAAAATTTGGGGAACAGCTACAAACAGTTAAGTAATGTGTATGCTAATGGACCATAGGTCCTGTGGAACTGCATCCCATGTACAATAACCTCTTGTTTCCTAGTTCCTTGCAAAACCAGGAGAGGAGATACCACTGGAAATGGATAAGCCAGCTCTGGGAATCTAGGTCTCTAAGTCAAATAGCATTAATTCCAAGAAAACATCCTTAAGAAAGTTGTCTCATGTTCCTACTCAGACTCTTCTCAACACACACTTGTAGATACACAAAGACAGACACAATATTCTTAGATGCAATCAATTTGCTCTCAGTTGAACCATGAGCAGTCAATTTACTTACATTCTCAATTTACCCAACCCTAAGGATGAATATAAAAGTAATTTTGAAGAAAAAAAAAAAACTAGAACCAATAGAATTCTATAAGATGATGGATAGAAAACCCAATATTAAAAAAAAAAAATCCCAGAATTTCCCTCTCAACACCAAGGTAAATTAATTTGGAATTAATAAGAATTGTTCAAAATCTAAATGATGAAAAGTACAAAGACAATGAAAACATAAAAAAAACTTAAGTGTTCCTGGATGGAAACATACAGTTAAATAACAACGTCAAATTAAACAGTATTAGTTTAAAATTTTGGCACCATTTTAAAACTAAATAACAATATTGTAAAATTCATTTGGACAAATAAATGTATAAGAACAGCACACTATTAAAAAATTAACATAGATCATAGACTTAAATGTAAAAGTTAAAACTATGAACCCTCTTAGATAAAAACATCAGTATAAATCTTCGTGACCTCAGATTAGGCAATAGTTTCTTAGATATGGCACCAGAGAGACAGCAACAAGAGGAAACAGATAGATTGTACTTCATCCAAATCAAAAACTTCTGTGCACCAAGTCACACTACTGAGAAAATGAAAGGTATCCAGAGAATGGGAGAAAATTTTGCTAATCATATATATGATGAGAGTCTAGTCTCCAAAGTATGTAAAGAATTGTTACAGCTCAACATTTAAGACAGTCTAATTTAAAAGTGGGCAAAGTATTTGAATAGACATTCCTCCAAAGAACCTATAAAAATAACCAGTAAGTACATGAAAAGATGTTCAATATAATTTGTCATTAGTAAAATGTGAATCAAAATCACAAGGAGAAATCACTTCACACCCAACATGATAGCTATAATAAAAAAAAAAAAGATAACAAGGGCTGTCAAGGGTGTGGAATAATTGGAACCTCAATACATTGCTGGGGGGAACATAAAATGGTATAGCCAATAGAGAGAACAGTCTGGCATCTCCTCAAAAACTTACAAAGTTTCACAATATGGCCTATCAATTCCATTCATTAATTCTACACACACACATGAGAATTGAAACTATGTTCACACAAAAACAAACTCATCAATGAATGTTCATAGCATCATTATTCATCATAGTCAAAAAATGGAAACTACTCAAATGTCTATCAACTGATGAATGGATAAACAAAATGTGGTATATCCATAAAACAGAATATTGTGTGTGTGTTAGCCACTCAGTCTTGTCTGACTCTTTGCAACCCTATGGACTGTGGCCCTCCAGGCTTCTCTGTCCATGGGATTCTCCAGGCAAGAATACGGGAGTGGATTGCCACTCCCTTCACCAGAGGAACTTCCCAACCCAGGGATCAAACTCGCAGGCAGATAAAAAGAAGTAAAGTACAGATACATGGTAAAACATAGATGAACCTTGTAACAGTGAAGGCAGAAAAGCCAGATAGAAAAACACGACTCCATGTATACAAAAAAAAAAAAAGTAAATAATCCACCTGCTATGTGGGAGACCTGGGTTCCATTCCTGGGTTGGGAAGATACCCTGGAGGAGGGAATGGCAACCCACTCCAGTATTCTTGCCTGGAGAATCCCCATGGACAGAGAGGAGCCTGGCGGACTACAGTCCATGGGGTCGGAAAGAGTTGAACACAACTGAGCAACTTTTGCTTCATGTATACAAAATGTCAAGGATAGACAAAACTCCACAGAAATACAAAGCAGATGAGTGGCTGCCAAGGGCTGGGAGAGGAGGCAGCTGAGGAGTGACCACTAGTGGGAGTGATGGAACAGCTCTGGAGTTGTAGTGGTGATGGTTGCACACCTTTGTGAATATACTAAGTGTATATTCAATTTTATGGTATGTGAATTATATCTTAGAAAAAATAAAGAAATGCATCTTCAAATAAAAATGGAAATTTTCTCCTATGAAATTGAAAGAAAAAAGGAAATAATATTACCGCAGGTTACCAAGGACAGAATGAATGGGAAACTTCAAGAACTGCCAGATTGGAGGATAAATTATTGTAGCATTTTGAAAAGGCAGTGTGTGCATCACATTCTTAAATTTTTGAAATTATGTAAATATAATTTGGGCCAATAGTTTTAGTGTAAGAAATTTACTCTCAAGAAAAAAATCACATACATATATATTTAACAACCCTGGTGTTCAGTACAACATTGATCAAAATGAGGAAAGAAATGAAGGATAATCTAAATAATTAAAGATGAACAAATTAATTTTAATAAATCATGTTATAGTCATAGAAACCAATGTGTTCCATGAAGTCACACAGACAATTTTATAAGAGAATGCAAATGCTTGTAATATATTGTGAATTGAAAGTAGTTTGCAAAACTATAGAATAATATTCCATTTGTTAAATTTGTTAAAGCCTGTATTAGAATGAGATATATTAAAATGTTAGTACTGATTACTTTGGATAGTCAAATTATTTTTATTTTGTAAAAATAACCTCTGGCTACTCACTGCTACATAAAGCTTATTATCTAAAATTGTATCTTATTTATTCATTTCCTTATATGTTATCAGTCACCTCACTTCAGTAGAATATAAAGTGCTTTAAAGGAAGCACTTTTTGCCCTAAACATTGCTGTATTCTTGGACCTAGTGGCAATAAGCAAAGTCTGAACTAATATATATATTAAATGAATACATGCACTAGTTTCATTTTAGAAAGCTGTTTTGGAAAACCAAACTTCTTATCTACATTATGCATGGGTGTGATCAATGACTGTGGAACTCTAAATGTTAA